TACCGCAGCAATTCATAGGGGTCGGGGCGCTGCAGGGCGCCGCCGCCGGCGCCGCCGGCGTCCCGCAGCCGTCCCCAGGGGCGGCCGTCGGGGTGCCCGCCGCGGGGCCGGCGGCGCGGGCGCCGGGCGCGGCGTTGCAGCTTCTGGCGGGCCTGCCGGTCTGGGAGAAGGCGGCGCTGCTTCAGAGGGCCATCGTGGAGGGCTGGCCCGAGCTGCAGGTGCTGCCTCGGACCAGATCTGATCAGACCAGACGAGGCGGACTCGAACGTGCATGCCATTGCTCCGCCAACCCCCAGGCAACAGCAGAGTGTTTGCTGCTGCACAATGCCACGGAACATCAAACACTTCCTGCCCGGTTCGCTTGTCCCTGCCTCCCACACCACCCCACGCCACGGCCTCACGCGCTCAACCCCCACTCAACGCCGCAAACCCCCCATCTTGTCGGCCGCAGGTGCAGCAGCTGCTGTCGCTGTTGACGGATGAGGAGATCAGCGCGATCAGATCGGTCCACGCCGCTCAGATCATGCAACAGAGCCGACAGCCGGGCCCCGCCGCCGCCGGCCTCGTGCCGACGCTGCAGGGGATGCCGCCGCCGCGCCCGCCGGCTGGGCCGGGGGCCCAGCAGCAGCAGCAGCAGCAGCAGCAGCAGCAGCTTCTTGGTGGAGCCGCGGCAGCGGCGTCGCAGGCGATGCAAGCGCTAATGAGCGATACCATCGGTGCCCGTGTCGTCCCCATTGAGGCGGCGGCAGCCACCGCCGCCACCGCTGCTGCCGCCGCCCCCTCCTTGCCGCCCCTCTCCGCGCCGCCCCTCGGCAGCGGCAGCTTCGGCGCCCGCAGCGGCAGCGCGAGCGGCAGCAGCGGCCGCAGCGGCGGGCGTCTGGTGTGCACGCCGAGCGGCGCGCCGCTGTGCGCCTCTGGGGATGTGGATGCGATCATCGACACAGCCGCAATGCAGGCCGCGTCGGCCGCCGCAGCATCTCATACGGTCGCGGCTGCGGCACGCGCGGAGGCCGCCGGGTTCGTCGTCCCCATACGCGACGCCGGGCCTGGCGGCCCGGGCGCGGGCTCCGCCGCTGGTGGCGGCGCGGCGGCGGTGGCGGCGGCCGAGTTTGATGCGGTGTTCGGGGCCGGCGACGGCGCGCCCACACTGGCGGCACTGTTTGGCGGCCAGGCGGGGGCGGACAGGTCCCTGGACTCTCTCAGCCTCCCGAGCATGCAGGACCCTGGTGGGTGGCGGTTTCGGGCGGTTTCTTTGGTTCAGTGCCTGCGAAACACCCAGCCGCACGTGCTGCTGGTTGTCGGTTGGATTAGTCAGGCCTGGATGGTTGGGGTCAGGTGGTCGGCACCTCCTCAGCTCGGGTGACGGCAAGGTTCACAAAGAAGTTGCAAACAGTGCTGATGCCATCGCCTCCAGGACCCAACCCATCGAGCGTAAGCCCACCCAGCCTGCAGGGCCCCGGTCGACATGCTTGTTGCAGCCCCTCTCAATACAATATGCAACTCCACATCATTTTCCTCCCACTTCCGCCACTGCACCCGACCGCCGCGCGCCAGACGGCTGGGCGGAGCTGCTGCGTGACCTGCGTCGCTGGAGCTCCAACACCAGCCGCAGTAACCCCTCGTTCAACGCGACAGACTGGATCCCAGACATCATAGGGCGGTGAGCGGCACGCCTTTGGGGGCCTGCGGGACCTTGGGATGGCTACTACTTTTCCAACGCTGATATGCGTTCTGCGTGACTGCAATCACAATCTGGGGCTCCAGGGCAAGCGCTCCTCTCTCAAGGATATCACGCCTGTCACCCTCACTGATGCGCACCCATCAAAATCGGCTCCACAGAGTGGACGAAGACGAAGAGGCGGCGGCTGCGACGGCGGCGGCTGCGGACGGCACGGCTGGTGGCGCGGCCCTGGCGGCGCAGCGTGCCAAGCGCGAGCGGTCTGGCGGTTACAACACGCGCGCGCACCAGCAGCTGCTCGCCCAGGTGCGGTGCGGCGGCGGCTTTAGCTCCTTACAACATACAGATTTTTGCTTTGTTTGATGCACATACGTGGCTGCCATCTGCGATCGCGACTTGCGTCCTTACAACGGTGTTGCTTTCGTTGTTGGACAAGATGGGTCCGACCCACGGAGCTAGCAACTCGGGGCACGCTGCTCCATCGTCGCACCTGGTGCCCCTGCCCGCCCATGCACAAAACGTGAACATGCAGCTCCCATCCATCCACCTGCCCGCTATGCAGCCCCCCTCACATGTGCGCTTTCCTGCGCGCGCCCGCACCCACACACACATACACACTCATGCACGCGCGCAAACACACACATACACACACACACACACATTTTCTCTCTCACAACCAATTACACACATATGCGTGAATATGCGCCAATCAACTAATCAACCAATCGCAGGCCACGGTCAACGATGACTCATTCAGTGCAGACACCCTGAGAGCCATGCTCAGGGGTGATCACGCGGGCAGCATGGGTGGGTTGACCGCTGTTGGCGGCCTGCTGCGTTGCAACCATTGACTCCAACAGCCCGCCCTGCTCCCATGGGGGCTGGGGGCGACTGCCGTGCCCCTGTCTGGTGATGCTGCCGCTCTTTGTCACAAGTGCAACTTTGTGCTGCCTTGCCGGGGTGAAGTGCGTGTCCAGACCGATCTGCACCAGCATTGCAACGGCCCATGTCGGTCTCACCTGCACGCGCGCACTTACACACGCGCACGCGCGCGTGCGCGCACACACCTACCAACACACATGCATACGCACTCATTATCACGCGTCAAAAAATCTGCCCAAACCTCACCGCACATCGCAATCGCAAACGCAGGCCGCCACATGCCGGCCCTGCGCATCGGAAGCGCCCAGAACGACGCCGCGGCCAGGGCCGCCGCGATGGCCGGCCGCGTCACCCCCCACGACAAGTCAGGCCCAGGCGGGGGCGCCGCGCGCGGCTGACTGCGCTTCACCTGGGATGCTGCTGCGCAGGACGCCGCAAGGCGGAGCGAACGGAAAGCGCGGTGGCGGCTCTGCTGCGGGGCCAGCCAGCCGCGGCCACAGTGCAGGGTGCATTGGACGGCGGCCAACGCTGGCAGCGTGTGTGACCAAGGCAGCGCTGCAGAGTGCGCGCTTCCGGTGTGTGGCCGAGGCGGCCTGAAGGGGCGGCGCACGCGGGGGGCACTGCCGCGTTGCGGCTGCCCGCCACACCTGAGCCATGCAGCATTCACTCAAGCCCCCGCACCGGCTGACCCCCAGCTGCTTTGTAGGGTGCCGCGTGCGTCGTCTGTTGCGCGTACGTCGCCCTGGGCAGCCTGCTATTGCCCACTGCCGTCACTTTGGAGCGGAATAAAGAATGGCGATTGTGCAGCCTCCTGCCCTGCTTCCGCTGCGCGTTGCTACCCTTTCTACCCTCGCATGCCCAGGCCGCACTGCTGGGCTGCAAACCGGGTCAAATTGGCACAGCTTCAAACCAGCCACACCTGACGACACCAGTTGAACTTCCAAAATCATGACCATGCCCAACTTTTGCTGTTTTCATTCTGGCTTGGCGCCGCCTGCAAGCCCCAGCCGCCCTCGCCCTGGCGCACACCACAAGCGCGCCCATGGAGCGCCTCAGCGGTCCCCCACATGCGCGCCCCGCGGCGCCAGATGGACAGCCCTGACCACGGGCACCGCATGCGCGGGCCCGAACGCGATCCCTTTGTGTTGCAGCACATTGCAGTTGTACGAACATTCTCAAAACTGTCAAGCAACCTCAAACAGCCCTTGCGCTGCGGTGGGGACCAGTAACAGGCTTCCCACAACTCTCGCTCTCAGGCACGTGAACATGGCACAAAGGCCCTCAGAAAATCGGGTTTCAGCTTGCAGCCACGCCTGCGTCCGCCGAGCAAATCCGCGGGACAAGGGACGGCACGGGTCGCAGAAGGGGCAGCGGCGTCGCAAAATAGCTGCATCACACGCGCAAAAATGGCAACGTAGAGGATCAAGCAGAAATTCCAAATCCCGCCTCAATGAACGGCTCTCTCTCTCTCTGGCTCATAAAATTGAACTCGTCTGCTCAGCGGTGATCTGCACGGCGGCCGTAGCAAGCTGTGCAGCAAAGGGCGCTAGCGGCTGCATGCCAGGTCAAGGCACGCTGTCGCGCATGCCACTCGCAAAAATTGAGTCCATGTCGTGCAGTCAGCCCATGGACCATCACATGCGTCCGCCATCAGTTGAGGTAACCGCTCCCCTTGCAGCGGCTGCACAGCACCAGCCCGGTGCCATTGCACACCCGGCACGCGCGCGGGTTGCCGCTGCGTCCGACAGGATCGCGCCGCGGCCGCGGGGAGGCCCCGCTGTCCTGTGACTTGACCTTGCCCCTCTCGCCGCTGCCCTCGCACGCGAAGCACTTGATGCCCCCGGTGCCTGGGTTACAGGGTCGAGGTTGGGCAGCACGAGAGAGGGGTTGGGTGGGCATGGTGGGGGCTTGCGCCGATGGCGGCGCAGCCGCCAGAGCTGTGGCGCAGGGCGCCGGCTTTGAGGAGCTAAGGACTTGCGCGGGCGTCTATGTGCCATGTCACGCACGAGCGGGCTTTGGGGCACTGGGCCACGGGGCCACGACCCTGGAAGTGACGCTCGCCGTACGGGTGGGTTTTCGCACGGGTGTGTGTGCTTTCTGTGTATGCGCACAGTCAGTCAAAATATAGGACACACGATTGGTCCCGAGCGGCCCCGAGCCGCTAACAGCACCAAATAAGTTTCATGTTTCCCTCAAACAAGGTGCAGCCGCGTTTTTGACACCAGGTGCAGCACATGCACAACCACAGGCACAAAAAGTCAGCGGCCGAGGGCGCCTGCGCAGGCGCGAGCGGCGGTGGGTACAGCACTCTCTGTTGACTCACCCATGCAGAGATCACACGGCACCGGGTCCCGCTTCAGCCCGCTGTACAGAGCGATGCCCACAGCAGCCGTGATGGCGCTGCCCACAATGACATCCTGCAGCAGCCCCGGGTCGGTCCCTGCCACCGTCCATAGAGCAGGCGGCAGCGCGCCGCAGGAGACGGGGCCGCTGCCGCCTGGGGAGCCGGTGCGCGGCCGCCGCGGGGTCGCGAAGGCTCCGCCGCGGGGCGCGTGGTGGGCGCAGCTGCAGCGGCGCGGCGGCAGGACTGGCGCGGCCCCGAGCTGCCGCGGCGGGGCGCCTTGGGCGCAGGCTGGCCGCTGCATTGGGTCGATGTGAATGTGAAGCACCGGTTTCGGGGCCAATGGGATATTCGCCGCTCAAGATCGAGGTGCCTTGCGCGTCGACTTCAGTCTGCGGCTTCAAACGAAGGTGGTTTTTATCAACTTATCGCGCCAGCATATAAGATAGACCGTGAATACATTATCAGCAAGGCGCGGCAACTCGGCTGCTTTGAAAGCGCGCCGTGGCGCCCACACATGAATGAGGCCATGACCGCCCCGGCCAACGGCCTGCACGCGCGCGCCCTCGCTGCGGCGCCCGGCGCGATCGACGCCTCCCTCGACGCCGGCTGGACCGCGCGCGTCCAGCCTGCGGCGGACGGCGTCGTGCGAGTGCTGTTCGCGCGGCGGGGGCGGCAGGCTGGCAGCGGCGCGGGCGCCGGGGGTGGCGATCTGGGCGGGGGCAGTGTTGGGGGTGATGGCGATGACAGGGAGGTTGTTGTGCCGCGATCATGGACAATCCTGGCGCCAGGAGAGGCGGTGAGCGCCGCCAACGAATGACCATATGTAGGGCATGCCTCGCGGTGCATGCGGGACAGGGGGTAAAGACGATCGCTTCATTGTTGACGGGCCGGGCTTGACGCGCGTGTTCCCGCCGCCGCGCCGCAACCACTGCGCACGCGCGCGCCCCCGGCCGGTCCCTCCAAGGACGCCCCCCTCGCCGGCCGGCCGCGCCTCGCGCCGCCGCCCGGCGCGCCGCGATTCGTCCGTGTCAGCGCAGCCCCCTCCGCCGCTGCTGCTCCTGGTGGTGGCGCGGGGGCGGCGCCGGCGGCGGTGGAGGCGGACGCGCCCGGCGGCCTGAGGGTGCGGGTGCAGGCGGCGCCGTTCTCCATCAGCTGGTATCAGATCACACCAGATCACCAGCCCCCGGCCCTCGCAAGCCAGGGCAACGCAGACGACGGCGCCGAGGATGCAGCGGGCCACCCGGCCACGGACGCAGAGGGCGCCGCCGGGCGTGATGCGGCGGCAGCAGCTGTCGAGGGAGGCGCGGGGGTGCGCTTCATTGCGGCGGACCGGTCGTCGCGCCCCTACAGCTTCGGCTGCCACGGCGGCCCCGGCTCGCTGTGCCACGCCATGGCGCGCCATGCAGGCGAGTCGGTCGGGGGCCTGACCATCCCGAATCCATCCGATCCCATCAGATCATAGAGTGCACACGTGCCATCGCACATCCACACGCGCCCCTGCGTGGACCGTCGCTCTGCCCCTTGCGGACCTCTCGAAGCCATTTTTATGCTGTGTTTATGTAAGCTCTCACGCTGGGCGCGACACTCTGTGCGTAACCCCCAGGTGACCGTTACTACGGACTGGGTGACAAGACCGGGGGCCTGAACCTGTCGGGCCGCCGCCTGCGCGTGGCCATGGCTGACGCTCTCGGGTATGACCCGCAGAGCGGCGACCCCCTGTACAAGGTCGGTTGGTTGGCAGTTTGATCTATTGAAGGCATGTTGGGTTGGATTATTGGTTGGTGTTGAGTTGCGGTTGACCTGCTTGTTGGTTGGGGGCTGTAATCAACTGTCCCTCAAGTATGGGGGCTGCTGTGGGGTTTGAAAGAGAGGGCCCCTCCCCTCGGGGCGGCCGCGCGTGTTGGGCCTCCCACCATGCCATGCCTCCGCAGCCTCTCACTTGCCAATATTAACATGCCCCATTGCCCGCCAACATCACATCCCCGTGCCCCAGGCCTGGCCATTCTTGGTCGTCCGGGACGGCGCCACCGGCTGCTGGTACGGCCTGCTGTACGACAACCTGGCAGAGGGCGCCTTTGACCTGGGCTGTGAGCACTCAAACTACTACGTAAGCCCTGATCGCGCACAACATGGTTTGACCGGTCAACGGGTCGAAATGCACAGCTGACGCAGCTGGTTTGTCTGAAGAGAGCATGCATCAGGGTTGCCTTCCTCGGGCCCTCGCCTTGCCGGCCACCCTTTGACGCAACGGCGGGAGTGCCCCAACTATTGGCTTTCTTTTTGCAACCCCTGCTGGACTGTTTCGTGTCACCAGGGCCTGTACCGTTACTACGAGGCGCGTGACTGCGACCTGGATTACTACTTCATCGCGGGGCCCACCCTGCCCGCGGTGCTGGCCAGGTGCGCGCCTAGGGCTGCTCTTACCAGTGTGCCCTCCAAGCCACATGTCGCGTGCGGGACCACGGCCGGGACTGCCGCCCGCCTCGTCATCTAAAGCTCATCAGAGCGCTCAACCCGTTGCCTGCGACGTCCGGGGCTACAGCTGCACGGCTTATCCAGCCTCATGATGCGCAAAGCCCAGGCGGCCTTGCTCCGCCGCTCCTGTCCCTGCCTGCTCAGCCGCGCCGCTGGCTGCTCCCGCCGCAGGTTTGCCGCCCTGACAGGCCACATGGCGCTGGGCCCGCGCTGGAGCCTGGGGTGAGGCCACGACCCTGGCGTGCGCGGCGACGCCTGCCTCGCCTGCTGAAAGCGACAGCAGGCAGTCCCCGCGCTCCTTTTTTGGATAAGTCGTACGAATTGGTAGGAACAGGCAGATCCTCAACACCTCAACTGCATTGCAACCATTAATCTTCCAGTCCCAACTCAGTCAATAGCGAGGCTCTGCCCGTTCTAAACCCCAGCTCCTTCTAATTCGTTGAACCCCCGCCGTTCCCTCTCCTCCCCGCGCCCGCAGCTACGCGGCGACCGCCATGCCTCTGGCGGACGCGCCGGACGCGCAGGTGCGGATAGAGGCGTTCCTGCGGGAGGCAGCGGACCGCAGCATCCCCATCAGCGCCTTCCACTTCGGGTGAGTGCGTGCGCGTGCGGGCGCGTGTCTGTGCTTGGCATGGCAAGGCGCGCATAGTCGGCCACCTGCCCCTCGCAAGTGCTGCACGCAGCAGTATGAAGTGCGCACCTGGACCTTTTTGTTGTGAGCTTTTGATTTTGCTATTTGAACTTTTGACGCTGGAGCTCCTGCTGACTGTCTCTGCTTCACCCCAACCAAACACAAACAAAAAAAGCACACATACACTCAGGGACGCACATGCGCACACATGCACACACACACACACACACACACACACACACACACACACACACACGTGCACACACCTACACTCACCATTCTCCCGCCACAATCCCCACGCTCCCGCTGCCCAGGTCTGGCTACACCTCCATAGGCAAGCGCCGCTACGTCTTCCACTGGAATACCCGCAAGTTCCCAGACCCAGGGGGCCTCGCAGCCAGGGCGGCCGCGGCGGGGCTGCGGCTGGTGGCCAACGTGAAGCCCTGCCTGCTGGACGACCACCCGCTGTTTGATGAGGTGCAAAGGGGGTGTGGCTGTATGGTTGCCGGCCAGCTGAGCGAGGTTTGGGAGAAATGGCGTTGTGAAGGAAACAGAAGAACAGCAGCCAAGAAAACCAGCTCAGCCGTCATGCAGATATCAGGCCAGCATTGCAAGATTGGCCACATTGCAAGATGTGGCCCAACTCGAATGCGACCAACCCCATGCACGCTTCGGCTGACCGCACGCACCGCCAGGCCGCCGCCACGGGCGCTCTGCTGCTGGACGGCTCCAGCGGCGCCCCCAGCATGGCGCCGTTTTGGGACGGCGACGGCGCCCACGTCGACTTCACGGCTGCGGCGGGCGTGGCGTGGTGGCAGGCGGGGCTGCGCAAGGCGCTGTTCTCAAACGCTATTGCCGGCGTCTGGAACGAGTGCGTGGCTGGAAGATCTTAAGGGTTTTTCCCGTATGACACGCACAACAAAAAAAGTGCACGTCAATCCTCTAAAGTGCATGCTGCTCAGAGAGGGTGGTACCAGCTCGGAGATTTTACAAGCCTACTCAGAAAATTTGAACCCGTCCCCGAAGCGTTTTGTGCCAACCAGCGTGACCGCCATGTGCGTGCCTCCCCTCCCCCTTCAACCGCGCACCCCACAGCAACAACGAGTACGAGCTGTGGGACGAAGGCGCCGCCTGCGCCTGCACCAGCGGCGGCGAGGACGGCGGCCATGGGCCCCTGCGGCTTCCGCTGGTGCGGCCGCTGCAGGCCCTGCTGATGGCGCGCGCGTCGCACGAGGCGCAGGTGCGTCGCCGGGTTTCGCCCCAAGATCTCCAGCATCTCTTCCGGGCATCGCCATCCTTGTTTCCCACCAGCACCACTACACCCAGTTCTACCCGCCTTGGCTGTCAGGCCGCGCACTGTGCCCCCAGCCATGCACGACGTGCACGCGTTGCGCAATACGGCCAGTCCTGCCCGAGAAGCCTCCGGCTGGCACCCCTCTGCGCTCCCTCGCTCGCATCATCAGCGCAGTTCCTCTCTTCTGCCGCCCGCCTTTTTGCACCTGATGCGCACCGCACCAATCCCCCCAGGCCGCGGCCGCGCCGGAGGAGCGCCCCTACACCATCACCCGCGCCGGCTGCCCGGGCGTCCAGCGGTACGCGCAGACCTGGAGCGGCGACAACACCACCTCCTGGGGCCACCTGCGGTACAATCTGCGCACAGGGCTGCAGATGGGGCTGTCGGGGATCGCCAACATCGGCCACGACGTCGGTGGGTCAAGGGTCTCCTGATTGGCTGCGCGACGGGGCGTGTTGGATTGGTTTCCTGCTGGTTTCTTGCACTTGGGCCGCTCTTGTCCTGTCGTCTGAAAGTTCCTTGGACATTTGAGCAGAATCAGTGATGAGGTGTGTGCTCGACGGCATCAATTTCATCACCCTAGCACATGGTTGCCCCATGTCCCACTGCCACATCAGCATGCATCACGCCCAACCTTAATCACGGTTCTGTACCCAACCCGCAGGCGGCTTTGCGGGCCCGCCACCGAGCGGCGAGCTGCTGCTGCGGTGGCTCCAGGCAGGATGCCTCCACCCCCGCTTTGTCACCAACAGCTGGAAGGCCTGCGGTGCGGTGGTGCCGCCGGGTGTCATCAATCAGGCCGGGTGGACGTTTGAGTCAAACGCCGCTCAGCACCATCGCAGCTGCCGAAGGCAGCGCACGCTCCCAAGGCAGCGCGTGCTCTCATGCGGCAGCCGATCCTGGTCCGTGCGGCGCTCTTCAGCCCAAGCAGTTTCACGCTTTGACAGCTCTCACACCCGCACACCGTCCGGTCCCACACACCCAGGCACCGTGACATCACCCTGGATGTACCAGGAATTCACACCCGCCGCCCGATGGGCGGTACGGCTGCGGTACCGGCTGATGCCCTACCTTTACTCATGCTACGTGACGTCAGCGCTGACGGGGGCGCCCGTCGTGCGCCCCCTATTCTTCAACTTCCCCGAGGATCTGGCCTGCTACGACGATCTGGCAGCCGACCAGTTTATGGTGGGGCCGGCGCTCATGGCGGCGCCGGTGGTTCAGGAGGGCGCCAGGGAGGTGCAGGTGGGTGTTTGCTTTGCCTGCCAAAGTGATCAAGCCGAACCATTCTCGTGAGGCAGATTTGAGGCTTGTTCTTGGGTGTGCTCATTTGGTGGACCTGCACTATAGCTTCCAGTTGGCCACAACGCAAGTCTATGTTGCATCCCCCTGGTTGCCCGCATCCCTACCCCTTTCGCAATGGATGCCATATGCAATGGCGCCAAAACCCATTGTATGACAGAGAGGGGCAAATCACGACTTGTCGCCGCTGACGTCACGATTCTGTTCACATGCCCCGCCAGGTGTACCTGCCAAAGGGCCCCCCTGGGTGGTACGACTTTTACAGCGAGCAGTACCATGAGGCTGGGGCCACCATCACGGCCGCGGCGCCCCTGGATCGCATTCCCCTGTTTTTGCCGGCGGGTGAGGGGCTGCAGCGCCTGCTCTGGTCCCTTGAACCTGCATCCTGCAGAGGGGTGCCAGCATCCTGACTTTCAAGTCCATCCTTCTTGCTCGATCTTTGGGTTTTGGCGATGGCTGATGTGGATCCATAGCGCTTTGCGTGGTGATGCGTTCCTACGCCTTTGTTGACTCGGTGGACATTGCTGGCGGACGGCAGCGGTTCGTGAGCCCCATCCCTCCAGCACCTCATCATCATCACACCCTCCTGCCTGGATCCATCGGCCTCCTCGACCCGCCCAGGCGCCGTCCTGCCAATGACGTCAGATGCCCGGTGTTACTCACGCCTCCACGACGAGCCGTCGCGCTGCCTGCGCGTCTTCCCGCCGCGCCCAGCCGTGACGGACGCCGCGGCGCCGTCTGACAGCAGCATCGGGGGTGGCGACGGCGGTCCAAGGGAGGGGCCGCCAGGGACGGCGGGCTTCACGATGTTTGAAGACGACGGGTTGTCACCAGCGCCCCATGCCGCGCTTGCAGCCGCACGCCGCGCGGCCGTCTCAGCGGCCGCTGCCGACGGCGGCTACTGGATGGGGCCGCCGCAGCTTGCCGAGCTGGTGCTGCCGGGCGGCGCCGCGCTGCGGTTTGACCTGACGGCTGCGCCGGGGGAGGTGGGGGTGACGGTGGCGGTTGCGGGCGGTTACAAACTGCCGTACGACGTCATGACCATCGCCCTGCCCGCGGCGGACGGGCGGCGGCTGGTCCTTGAGGCGGTGCGGGTGGACGGCGGCAGCGGTGGAGAAGACGAGGGCAACGCAGCGGGGACGGCGGGCAGTGCCAGCCGGCTGCAGGTGCCACGGCTGGAAGCTGGGTCGTTTGAGATGCACGATGTGATTTGGCCGTGATGGCAAGCGCTCCCGAGATCCCGGTTGCCAAGCCCTTGCGGGCCGTCTGCAGTCGCGGTGTCAGCGCTTGCATGGCTCTGGGTGGTGGCCCCTCGTGTTCTTAAGGTTGAGGCCCTGCGCTTTACATGGTGCGCACCAACCAATGATATGCAGAGTTTCAAATGCGGCATGCCCATAATACCTGGAGTCTTGACGACTCTTGCTCTTCCATGTGTCATGCTGTACTGCGCTGCTGGGGCTTTGTGCAGGAGACAGATACAGTCGACAATTGCTTACATTTCAAGGGTTAATTGACTACTGCGCAAGCACTGTTTGTGGGGTAAACATTGGATGCGCATGGCACAAGCAATGAGGAATCAACCCGATGAATCGGAGGGAGGCCGTGTCGTATGAGAGGCGGGGAGATGCTTGGAGGGAGCTGTGGGGTGGGGTGGATTAGGGTGCAGGGGATGTATCACCTACACGTGCATATGAAACAGACAAGTCCTGACCTGTGGTGCAACAAACTGTGCAAAAGGACGATGGGGGCATCAAACGCCTGTGCTAAGGTGTGCCTGAGCTAGCTAATGAGTCCCATAGAAACTGGTCAAGCGCCGTGCCGCCATTTTCAGGCGCTGGCTGCTTCGTTTGTGTGTGTGAAGTGTGGCGCGGTCAACCGCACTCCCACAGAGGGTGGGGTGCAGGACACAGCGCGGGCCTTCTTTGAGCAGGCCGCTTTCCTGGGAAGCAGGAGCAGTCTGGCGTTGTTGGTTGCATATCAGATGGTGTGCCGCGCCGCAAACCCCTAAAAGGTAGGCCTCAAGGGCGGTTGCGCTTCGATATCAAAGAAAGGAGCGTGGGGGTGAGGAGGGTCCCTCCCCTCGAGTCAAAACTGCACATTTGCATTCCATTGCCTCACCTGCCCCGCGCGCTGCTCGACAAGCGCGCGCAGGGCAGAGGGCGCGCGACACCCGCGCGGCCCAGGGGGGGCCGCTGCGCCTTGGCTGCGGCAAACTAGGGGTTCTAGAGGCCGGTCGCGCCGTAGTGGGCGGGCGAGCCGAAGCAGCAGCCGCCGCCGAGCTTGGTCTCTGGGTCGACCACCAGGTTGCAGGGGTAGGTGGTTGTGGAGGTGAAGGAGCGGCCGGCGGTGGTGACGGCGATCTTGCACTCCTGGGGGGCGGTGGAGAGGGCGTCCTGGCCGCCCTGGGC